CCCAAGAGTTGGCGGTGGGTGGTGATGACTAGCTGCCTTCCCTCTAGTCTTACACTGCTAAATTAGGGACGGCTAGCGCAGATAGCCCTCGTGTAGCTTTGCGCGAAATTCCAAAACAAACAAACAAACTATACTGGCAAAACTAAACGCCATCCAATACTTAGAGTTAATGAACATATGGGAATTTCCACGAATATACAAAAAGTTAAGTAGCCCATGTACTTCCTCTATACGCCAACATATTTAAGAAACAGGACACGAATTATTGATTAAAGAAACCTTTCACATCAAGTAGCATTCTCCAACCCTGAATAACATGCGGTATTCATTTAAATCACACGTTCTTTAATATGTTCAATATTTTTGTTGTTTGTTTGTTTGGAATTAAACACAAAGCTACACGATAGGCTATCTGTGCTCTTCCAACTAGGGGTATCGAAACCCGATTTTTAGGGTTGTAAGTCCGCAGACATACCGCTGTGCCACTGGGGGGGGGGGCATTTTTGTTGTTACTCGTCTACTTTCTATATGCTTTAGTTTTGAACGATGTAATTCATTATAATAACGCAATTTTATACTTATAAAAATTGTCATACAGCTTGCATTAGCTATTGAAGCTTAAACTATTTGTTGGTTTCAAATATTCGCGCAAAGCTGCATAAGAACTCTCTGCGCTAGTCGTTCCTAATTTTCAATTGATAGACTACAAAGAAATCATCTAGTCATTAGTACCCACCACCAACTCTTGGATAACTCTTATCATGTACGGGATTTGACAGTCATTCTTATAACGCATCCACGCAACCAAAATGCTGAGCACGATTTTGCGGCAACGGGAAGTGAACCATGAAGCCTCGGATACACAGCCCAACACGTTAATCATTGTAAACTAACAGACAGAAGTTAATTCTAGCGGTGGTCGCCATATTAAAATTATTCATTACTACTTTAAAAAAATTTATTTCAGAAATTAAGTTGTAGACATAATGCTTTTGAAAAGGTCGATATATTCTATAAAATGATTAATCCCATAATCGGTAATAAAAATATTGTCGTATTTACCGTAAAAAAAGTACTTAAAATGCAGTAGAATTGTTTGTTTGTTTTTTGAATTTTGCGCACAGCTACACGAGGGCGCTCTGCGCTAACCGTCCCTAATTTAGCAGACTATAGGGAAGACAGCTAGTCATCACCACCCACCGCCAACTCTTAGGCTACTCTTTTACGATCGAATAGTGGAATTGACCATAACATTATAACGCCCCTACGGCTGAAAGGGCGAGCATATTTGGTGTGACGGGGATTCAAACCCGCGACCCGCAAATTGCGAGTCGAGCGCCCTAACCATCTGGCCATGCTGGGCCCATTACTAATGGTATAATTATTCGAACTATTATTTTCGTCTTTATTATGTGTATTATTTTTTTCACAACATTTCGACTAATTAATTCTCCGGCCATCGTCAGAATGTTATAGCAGACATTTTGTATGCCAAGAAAGCTTTTTGTGGAATTACCAGGATTCGAACCCCTGCATCTGTGCTCCCATATACGGTCTTCTTGGTATTCTGGATGTGTCTTGATAATCTTCAGGGCAAATACATTTGTACGTCCAGCAGATTCAGTTATTGTGCTGCATCATGTAATAGCGTGAAAGCTAAGAAGTTCCATGCTGACATCCTTGCCAAGACACTGTGCAACTTTTTTTATGTCAGTGTACGTGTTGCAGGTTTGTGTCACACATTCTTGATACATTGGATACTGGATTTCTCTAATGAAAGCCATACAAAGAATTAGAATATCTGTGTAATCAGAAACAGTTTTCACTGCCTTATGTTCTGATGAGGTTGCATGAGCAGCATGAAGAAAAAATATTATATCCGCTTCCTCTTGTGGGGATCTCAACTCATCAATTTCTTCAGATCCATCTTCTGATATTCTAAAGCATGATTCCGTGCATGTCACATACAGTTCTCTGCCAACTAATTTTTCCTTTGATTCTGGATTGCTTCCACTCATTCTCCAGCAACTTGATAAGACCTTACTTATTACTAGGACTGGACAAAAATGTTCTTGAACTGGGTACCTTCTACTGCATCCTTCCCTACCTTTTGTGAAAGCAATAAACACTGAGATTAACCAAAGAAAACATTTTTTTAGTCTCTAAAAGATTAAAACCATGCATACTTTTATTAAACATAAGTTTCTAAACTTTAGTGAAACATTTTTTTATATGACCTATATTTTCACTTTTGCCCACTTATATAGGCGCCATACAATGGATTTGGGGCAGAAAACAATATTATGCCAAAATGTAAATGCTATCATGTAGATTTTGTTTTCATATGACCAAGAGAACAAATCTAGATAATTGTATTTTTTGCCCCTCCACGTGGTACTGACCACCCTACCCAGCCCATGAGCTATTAGTAACTAAGAGCGATTTTGTTTTTACTATATCGTACTATATTGAACTTAATAGCCCGATTATCTGAAAAATAGAGCCATAAAAATAGAAACACTTGACAATGGTAATGATTATATAAGATTTTAGACGTATATTTAATAAATAGGAGGAAGAGTGATCAAACAAAATCTTACATAATGATTAATAAATATTTTATCTCCATGTCATCTCTTTGAACGTGTATACTCATCGGCTAATTTGTATTAGACATATACTGGAATATTTGTTTTACACTATGGACAGATGTTGTTACCTTCATATCACTCTATACAACGTACATAGTTAGCGCCTAGTATTCCGGTGTGTCAGCCGTAAATTCATAGATTTATACCTAAAAAATGGAGTTTGATTCCTCGTTGTGGACAATGCGCTGATAGCCCAATGTGTGGCTTTGCGCTATAACAAACAATCAACCAATCGATTTTCGCCTGATTTTGAATTAGAAAAATATTTAAGTATCTGTTCTATAATACCTAATGTCTAGCCAGAATAACACTGTATATTTACCTTTTTTTTTTTACAATAGGATTTCAACTGTTTATGGAACGCTAATGAAACCTTTTTATATTCTTTCTTTTTTAGGAGTTCGATCTTAGCCTGCTGAATCGTCCAGCATCCGTGATTAGTAGACTGACGAATTCTGAGATATGTAGCATTTCTTGTCCTACATAATATTCCGTTCATTTCTTCCTGATAGCATGTTTTCTTAATCTTCGTTTTATTTGATTCGTCTGACCACGTCAGGACTCGCATCAAATCAGAGAATAAAATTATATCGAATGTTCTTGAATAAATTCAGATTTTATCTAATGTTGCTGTAAGAGGTTGCAATAATGGATGCGTTATCTCTGTTAACATAATTACAGCTGCCTCATTAACACGTCGCAACCCTTTCAAAGTATCCAAGTCTCATTTGATTTCTTTCCAGTTACATCGACGGTTGCCGTAATCATGGTACTTGAAAACTATTTAAATTTAAACTAGTATATATACATATATATATATCACCAACCACAAATGTTTGGTTTATGTATAGGTGACCAGCCACCAGAAGCAACGTTCGTCCCGTTCAATTGAGCCAGCTGTTCACTCATTGATGCAATAAATCAAGTGAAAAAGACGGACTGGTAGATTACGTGAGTCACAGTCATCCACACAGTTCAGACTCGGTGTCGCCGCAATAAGCAACCCTTTCCGTTCTTCCCTCCGTAACGACCTCACTCTCGTGTGGAAGTACCTGAATCTAACAACTCGGTTGAGTCGTGCTAGTGGATCAGCCAGCCTACTAAACACACAGGCATACGGACCCCCTCGCTGCACGAAGCAGCCTTAATTCTTTGAAGCCTAAGTGTATGTATAAGTGTGAAAGACTTTTCAGTCTCAGCATATTCCGCACAACGCAGACTGGTATTCGCTAATCCGTCTGGTCAAACCGACTGCTACAAAAAGTGGTCCTTGTCAGTCCGCTTCACTACACCACGCTGCAGCTTAGTCATCTATCCCAGCCAAGGCGTTTTCAGGCAGAGACTGCATCTGCGTTCTAATCGCCCACTCGCCGAAATCAAAGGGTTATTTGGCGTTCGAGTTTGAGGACTGAGTTACCTTTAATTCCTGGAGAAGAATCAATGATTATGGCCATGGTTAACAACCTCCCTACAGCCAAGGACTCACGTTGGTTGCAGTTGGAGGTCTGCCGAGAATACCAGCGAAATAAATGTTCCAGAGCTGACACTGAGTGTAAGTTTGCCCATCCACCAGGGAATGTGGAAGTCCAGAACGGGAGGGTGATCACCTGTTATGATTCTATAAAGGTAAGGTACTGTTCGTTATTTACCAATTCCTAACTTTCGCGAGAGAGAGAGAGCCTGAAAGAAACTCATTCAACCCCCACTGGTTTTTCTGTTTAATTCATATATTTTGCACTTTAAATCTCAAAATGTTATATATGGGTCAATATAGAAATTATAAATAACCATTATATCTATGCTCACGTAAGTTTAACAGGGATTTGTAAATTACGTTGTTGCAAGGGTGTGAGTTCACGTCCTCACCCCCCCCCCCCCAACTAGTTTTCTTTACACTTTCTAAAAACTGACGTTTCGTAATTGACTGTATATCTAGTTTACAAGTTGTTTGATGTTTCTTTAGAAAGCTTGTAGGTTCAAATGTCTGATATTACTGGTTTTTATTCTAGTTATTTTATTCAAGAGTAAGATTACAAAAACACGTGAAGCTATAAGATTTCATTGTGAGAAAGAGAACACTCGAAATTGTTATGATAATTCAACATACTGCTTGTGTATCACCAAACAATTGTACTGTAATGTGAGAGAGGATCAACTGGTAGTAGAAGGAAAAAAGTGGTCCGAAGTGAATTTATTGTTTGGCCTTTGTACTCAAAACTCTGTCACTAGTTCAGCTGAAGTATCTCTCTATTTCTATATTGTACTATTGGTTGTATTTGTACTTGAGCGATGTTCATATGAAAACTTTCACTGCCGCTGGGTTTCTTTTGCTATAATCTCAAAGGCTTTTCCTTCTCAATAACTTTATCTTCTTCTCCATGTGGCCATTCCTTGAACACGGTTTTTATTTCATGATGCAGAAATTGACATTTCAGATGGAGTCGAATCTTCAGAATTGTTATCAGAGTGTGTTACTAAGTTAAGCAATCCTGACCTATACAGCATTTTGAAATATAGTCCATTTAACATGTAACATAATTTTTTCTGATCATGTCTTTAGCACTATGCTACAGATGCAGTTCATTAGGCCATGAACAAAGCTACAAAGTTGTATTTGGGAGACGTTTTACTGGGTTATGATTTTATTAGTAAATAACTCACTGTTCAAGTCCTCGAAGCCGTTTTTTTAAATTTTTTTTACACTTATTTATATTATTCTGTGAACTGTGTATAGATTAAAGATAGACAGCAGCATCACGTTTGGTCCTAAAATGATTTGTTTTATTTTGTTTGTAATTAAGCACAAAGCTGCACAGTGGACTATCGGATATCGAAACCTGGTTTCTAGAGTTGTAAGTCCACAGACATACCGCTGTACCACTGGAGAGCAATTAACAATTTACGAAATATAATAATATTGTAAAATAAAATATAATACGGTGCTTTAAGTTTTTAAAATTGAATATAGAACTATTTAAAAAAATTCACAAAAACTATTAATACAAAATAAAATAAAATACCCATTATACAAAACTTAAGTTAGGGAAAATAGCATAACATTAATGGTTTTGAGATTATATTTTTTCTTAAAGAATTCCAATCACCTTTATTTGATGTCAGAATAAGATTATTTTCAAGAAAGGAGTAACAGAAATATTTGTAGTTAAAAATTCCTATAAACTGTCTACTCAGAATGATATGATTTAACATCTGATGTTTTGTTCTTACCATAGAAACAATTGTTGTATGAGAGAACTTAAATCATCTTACAGTTGGTCATAATAAATAAAACACAGCATGATATCTTACAACTGAACATACCAATTAAAATATAGCACATTATCTTTAAGTGATCACACCAAGTAAAGTACTGGATAATATCTTACAACTGAACATACCAAGTAAAATATAGCACATTATCTTTAAGTGATCACACCAAAGTAAAGTACTGGATAATATCTTACAACTGAACATACCAAGTAAAATATAGCACATTATCTTTAAGTGATCATACCAAGTAAAGTACTGGATAATATCTTACAACTGAACATACTAAGTAAAATACAGCACATTATCTTTAAGTGATCATACCACGTAAAGTACTGGATAATATCTTACAACTGAACATACGAAGTAAAATACAGCACATTATCTTTAAGTAATCATACCACGTAAAGTACTGGATAATATCTTACAACTGAACATACGAAGTAAAATACAGCACGTTATCTTTAAGTGATCATACCACGTAAAATAGTGGATAATATCATACAATTGATTATACCAGTTAAAAACACTAGACAATATCAAACAACTGATCCTACCAGATTAAATACTGTACAATTGATCATATTAGGTAAGGTACTAAACATTACACAAAATGTTCATATCAGATAAAATGTTGAATAATATCATACAGCTAATCATACTAGTAAAATACAACATACTATGTACAACTGATCATACCAAGCAAAATACTAAACAATATCATACAACGGATATCATACTAGATAATACACTGTATAATATGATTATCATACGAACAGCAGACATGATTTTCACTAAACTGTATGTTATAAGAGATTGACAAATGTTGCGGATTATCAAAAAATGCAAATTCACAGTTCAAATATTTCTGTTAAAAATGCTTTTATCTTTAACTCTTTAATGCAGCACTTTAAGACAAAAGAAAATTTATTTTTGGAGAAAAATATGTGTCGCTCTTTATTATTCAGAAAATTCACAAGCTCCAGTCTGTAGCTTGTTCTATTTATATTTCTAACTATATTCAATTGTACTGAAGTTAGACGGAACACGTAAATACTCTGTAATATCTGCCCTGAAAATTCCCTGTATCTGAAAAAATACGCATATATTGAAAATACAAATATCTTAATACAATTAAGTGTTTTTTAAAGGTAGTATTTCCTTCTTCTGTAAATGCGACATCGCTTTTATACTATATGACACGTTAATCCAAAATTTATGAAGAAATAATGGTATTCTTATTTTTCAAATCCAGATGAATTGATAATACCTTTTAGCTCCTCTCTCATTCAACTGAAATTCTAAGCTAAATTTTTAATCCAGTATATATGTCCTATTACAGCGAAATATGAGTAACTCATCTACACGTGGTAGTATAATTCATGTAAAGTGCAATAAGATAACTACTTACAAACTTTTAATATCAAATCGCTTACAAAGTTTTGATATCGCTTGAATAATTTTAGAGAAGTTTGGATTCCCGCTTTTTTTTTGTTTTCATAAAATTGTTGGATAGACTTTTTGCAATTTCAAATACATAGTTGAATAATCTTTTTGCAATTCCACGGTGTCTGCAAGTACATGTACTTGACGATGAAGCTATTGCCTAAGCAAACGTAGGTCAAGTTGCGCACCTGGTAACAAGACGAACCTGTTTAATGCTGTGTCCTTTTTCACTAGTTTTTTGTGCTCCTTATTGATCTTCTAGAGGTAGACTGTCTGTTGAAGAAAAAAACTAATTCTTCCGTATTGAAACCGACTTCAAAATACGATCTGAAAGCCGCTATGATTTATGAATTTCGTAAAACTTGCGAAAAAGATCTGCGTATTTTTAAAATTAAAGGTACTTTAATAACACTAGACAAGCCTGTTATTCTTAGAAGATTATTGAATGAAGTATATTCTTAAAATAGACTATTTGCTAATAATTTATGGAATATTCCCTTCGAAACCATTTTATGGAACAATAAACTGACGGGGAAGTGGTTAACAGAAAAACAACATTGAGTCCTGAGTTGTAGGCAAACGGTAGCATCCAAAGTTGGGCAGTTTTCTTTCGAAATGCCGATTTGTTTTTCATGCAAAGTTACACAAACAACTATTTGCGCACAGGAAGTACCTCATGAGCTTCTCTTGTCTGACCAAATAGTGAGATTGGACCGTCGCTCTTATAGCGCATACATTGCCTCAAAACTAAGAGTGTCTTTTTGCCATAACAGACCCCGAATCATGAAACTTCACATTCACAGTTCGATTGCTCTAACCATTATTCCACGCCTGGTTCGCTTTGAAGGCAATTCATGAAACAATTTTCTCCAGCTTTTAAAATGCTTGAATGAATTAGTCCTGAAGGTTGTAGTATTTTTTTTTATATGAATCCTGATAACGGTTGAAACTTCAATATTGAAAAGAAATAACGATTTAAACCAAAATATTTAATTTTGACAAACATATTAGTTACAAAGTATTGTATATTGTTAATGTGGTGCGCAACTGTTGATTTTTGGTGACTTTAAAGGCAAATCATGAAACACTTTTCTACAGCTTTTAAAATGCTTGAATGAATTAGTCCTGAAGGTTGTAGTTTTTTTTTTTTTCGTATGAATCCTGATAACGGTTGAAACTTTAATAATTTAAACCAAAATGTCTTATTTTGACAAAAATCTATGTCATAAAATATTGTATAATATTAACGTGGTGCGCAACTGTTTGTTTGATGAGAACTTCTAGAACATATTGTTGTTTAGTCTTGGCTTAAGTATAGTTCTGGCTTACAAAGCTAAAAAAGAAGGTTTCGACACCCATGGTGAACAGAACACGGATATCCCATTGTGTAGCTTTGTGCTTAACAATAAACAAACAAAAGTGAAGCCCTGTTTATCTTATTAGCTACAAAAACTTGTTTTAGTCTCAATGCTTTTTTCTTTTAATATTGCAAACCGGCTTTTACCGGAAATGACGACAAACTGTCCTTCAACAGTGAAGCTACTAATAAAACAAAGATAAAGGGACGGGTGTGAGGGACTGTCCCCTCATAAAGAGACGTAGAAAAACGCCAAAAGCATCTGTCTGCTGACAAAAAAAAATTATGGAGAAGAATTAAAAAGCTGCTTCGAATCAGATAATATTTTGTCAGTGATTGATAAAAAAAAAAAGTAGACGAATGATCATTATATTCAGTTCAATTCATTATTTCCCCGAAAGAGGGCCGAGACACCTGTTTTAACCAGTCGCACCAGTATATAGTAGTATATTGTCTGTCAGTCAGTCAGTCAGTAGACACTAAAATGACGTCATATAAGGGACACTTAACGTTGCCATTTGTACTGTCGTGACGTCAGTAGAACGTGCGCATGCCA